ATGACCCATTTTTGGGGTAAAATTTCGGACCCGAATTTCGCAAAACAAATTACACCATATTAATTCTGCTAAAATTCTAAGCAAGTTTTGTCTTCATGAGTTTTCTCCTAAACCCAACCCAATTTGAGAAAAACGCGTTTTAAATTTCAAGTTTAACGCGTTTTGTCCGGTTAATTTAAATCAGCACTGTACACACTAAGCAAAATTGAAAACTGTTTTCCTTAAAAGTTTAAATAACCAAAAAAATTTTAAGAAAGCAAAAAATTCATTTTACTGGAGAACAACTAAGTTTTCGACGCTTACAAAAATCATCGCCTTATTGTTTATCAATTGTAAGCCTGCTCGCTCGCTTTTGTGCTAAGATATAGACTATTTGCAAATAACACGGAACGTTCTTACCACAATCAAGTAAGTAGGTAAAATCAAAAACTTTTCAAGAAAACATTGAAATTAGTATAATAAAAGTTTTACTTTTTCAAGTTGCTCCTAAAAATTTTTTGTAACATGTGATTATTTTTTCACCAGTTACAAAAAAAACAGATGTGTAATTCGAAAAGAGTAAATATTTTATTATACTACTTTTGAGGTTTTCTTGATATTTTGGACTTTTTTACTTGCTGGCAAAAAAGTACGCAGTAGGTACTGAAACACATCAGCACTGCAGTAAATTTCACTACAGAGTTCGGGTCGATAAAAGACATCAAACTCATTCTGATCATTTTTGTCTGATTTTGAGTCCAACATTTAAAATTCAGACCAATTTTTCTTGTCATGGGGGCGGCATCTTGAAAGTTTAATTTAACTCTAAATGCAGAATAAAAAAGCCTTGGAATGATACAATTTGGCCCCCTTTCAACTTTTATTTGATGCAGTCAAAAACGAAAAAAACCCATACTGAGTGGTCTGAAAAACATTTTCCCGAAGACTCACTCAATTTCATGGTGGTAAATTTAATTTTGTCATTCAATTTCAATTCTCTCAGACTTGTTCAAATATCGAGAAGTGTCTCAAGAAAACAGAGTTTGCCAATTTCTTTGCAATTAATTCTGACCAAATAGAATAAAATTTAACGTATCAAAAAACCATAAAAAGAATGAAGAAATTTATTCACATTTTTTCTCTTTTTTGTAAATAGCCATCGATGTTTGTTTTAAGCTATAGTTTACAAAATTAGAAGTTATTAATAGCGAAATTATCGCAATATCTCCATCACAAAATAATTGTGGGTTACTAACATTGAAAAACTATATGTGAATTAGTCTAAAAAACTGACATTTTTTTCGAAACTGAGATTTTCCGCAACAACGGCTAAAAAAGCGCTAATATGATACACTTGACTATTTCCCAGTTTTCTTTGAAAAGGTTAGAATTGAGCTTAACAAATTTATAATAAAAAAATCAACTCAAAAAATAAATAAATTTTTTAATACAATATTTTCAATTCGAAAACCTTTTCTGATTGAAAAAAAAGACAAGACTTTTTTTTAAATTTTTTTGATGTTTATTCGTTTTTTGAAACTATGCCTGGAGTCGACTATGCCTATCGTACTTTTTTTACAAACTTTTGTCAAAGATTTTTAGTTTCTTTTTTTGATGTGGCCGGAACTTTCTGTGCTAGTTACATAGAATAACCTCTTGTTTATCCATTGGAATTGAACTTTCCATGAAACCTGGTTTTCATTATTGGTTTTCATGTATTGAAAAAAAAGTGTTTCTTCAGAAACAATTTCGAAAAGACGAAACGTTGTAATTATTTTAAAACACTGAAAAAATGAATTGCTGTATTTTACCTTAACCTAAATTCACCCCACCAAAACACTCGGACCAATCACTTTCCGATTCTTTCGCAGCAGCTAGTGAATTCCAATTTTTTTGTTTCACTTGAAATTTAGTCTATCTTTTTTTCGTATGCATCGATAAAAGTAAGCTAAGTGCCCAACTAAAACTGGAGGTATGTGTTTGATAGGTTTTGAATTCGTTATACTGACAAGAAATGGAATAGATAATCTCAAAAACTGGACTTTGTCTAGAACTTTAGTTATTTCTTTACTAAAATAAGTGAGAAAAGTGAAAACTTTTGAGATATTGTAATTTTTTCAAGGACATCATTTTTCCTACAAAAAAAACAAGAATTCAACGCTTCTAGAGGAGAACTTTCAGCAGGTTTTTGCAATTGAACCCTTTTTCTAGGATTTGATAGGTTAGTTATGTAGAAAACTAAAAAAAAATTCTTAAAAAACGGTCAAAACTTCAATTAAACACAGAGTTTTTCTGCAGAAAGTAGTTCAAACTAACTTAAGTAGAGAAAATTTCCTCAAACCAGGTTTTTTAATTGAACCTCAGAACTGTGAGATTAATTTTTGAGAAAAATCAAGAAAATTCAAAAAAAAAACGGCCGTTTCGAAACTTTGACCATATTGAAAACCATATTTCTTATAGATTAGAACAATTATGAAAAAATTTTATACATTATAAAACTAGCCTTCAGACAGTCTGTTGTTTTGATTAAACCCTTGATATCAAATTTGGCAAGATACTTATTGATAAAAGTCAAAAAGCTTCCAAAAATAGGCCAATAAAACAAAAAAATGATTTTTCTAAGAATCAAAGCTTTTCGTGTAAAAAATTAGGCGTCACTTATGCAGAAAAATTCGCGCAAATTGCATTCTCGATGTAACGCAAAAGTTCAAATAATGGGAAGTTAGTTTTTGAGAAATGTCGAATAAGGTAAAAAAAACTGTCAAAATATCAAATACTTTACTATACCGTGGGCCATAACGTTTTGTTAAAGAAAGTTGGGCAGAACTGTTTATGCAGTACAGCTTCTTATAACTCGTTTTATTTATTGAACTAAAATTTCATATTTGGGAGGGTAGTGTTTGAGTAATCGCAAGAAATAGAAAATTATCGGTCAAATTTTTTCAAAACAAAGTTTTTCGAGGGCTGTAGACAGTGAGGTAAAGTAAAGCATTACTAGGGGATTATGCAGGCACACAAGCAAACACGGAGTCCTATCATTGATTCACCTTTTAAAATTGGTATATTACATTATGAGAAGCGTTTCAGGAAAACAAAACAAAAAAAAAACAATCGCAAACATTTTCATAATACTTTTTTCTATTAAACAGGATTTCCAGGCAAACATGCTGCCATGCTGCCAAGCAAGACATTTGATTTTTGATTTAGCAGCGGAGCAAAGCTTAAGAAGCGAAAACATCTGTTAGCGGACAAATGAAAGCCGACAACTCATAATTTATTGGGAAAAGTTCAAATTTATTTTTTATGAATGAAAACAAGGTCCTGCAGGGACTCGAACACCCGACCTTGGATTGCAAAAGTAACAGCGGTACCTCCAGGTCAAGTCAGAAGGAAGGAACCTGGAATTTGTATAGGCTCAAAAATGAAGCTAGTTCAGTTTGTTGTAAGAAACAGTATATATGGAAAAAAGTCTAGTTACCGATTACAAGAGTGTGAACATAGAAAAGTTTTTATAGAAGAATTGACCAAATTCGGGTTAAATTGTTTATCTCAATAAAACAGACAAACCTGAACAAAAAATATTCTGCAAAAAACGAAAGCAGATTATATTTAAGACGATCAAAATTTTGTTAATTTAATTTGGAAAATGTTTTTTGATAATTTGAAAAGATTATTTTAAAATCAAAATATCGTATTTTTTTTTAAATAAAGCTATTCGAAAGCCGTGAATAGCTTGACGACCTCCCAATGTTTAAATTTTTCTTAGGTTTTTCACGAGAAATCAGGTAACACAAAAAATCATCGGAATGGGTTCAGTGATTTATCATTTCAAAGCTCATTCAGTCGTGATTAGAACAATATTAAAATCTTTTCAAAATTTTTCTGTGCCGAGGAAAATTTGTTTGAATTTTTTATTTCAATTTTGAGCGAACTGAGCCAGCGAGCAGGCTTTCCTCGATAGAGCCCGTATGAATAGTATAAGTTGTTTACGGAAGAAACATCTAGTTCCCGATTACAATACACTTGCTTTTGCAGGTGTAATAACACTCGCAAATTAGTTCAACGCCAGTTTCGCGTAGAAAACATTCACAGAAACTCTACTTGGTCATCAAAAGAAGACTTAGGAACACATTCGTTTTTCCTTACCTTACATTGTAATTTCAATAATTTAATTCAGAAGTTGCGCACAACTCACATGACAGTGGAACAGATGCACAAGTAGGAGACAGGTGGCGAGTACCTTTTGGAATTCCACTGATGAGTTAACTGATATTCGACTGAGTTAGCTCAAATACTGAGTTTGCAGGTACCGAAGATTATTCTCTCACAGTGAATGCTTCGAGCGCACCCCCCCCCCCCCCCCCAAAAAAAAAATTCTGATACCTCAATTCTGCAAGTGATTTCGCCATAAAATCTTAACACTATCTGTTTATCGAACCCAATATGCTTATCATCAAAATTCTGTCTGAGCATTTGTAGGTGAGATTGCTTATTTTTTGGTTTACAACTTTAGTTAGGCATAATAAAACTTTGTTATGTCGGTATGTTGATCAAAGAAAAATCAGCACTCTTTCCTATAACATTTTCCCGATCTTTGTTTAAAATAAATAGCCCAATCCCGCCCACCACACTATATTGTGTATCATGGGCGAACAAAATCTACTGTGGGCTGTGTCAAAAATGGGCAAAATCGTAACAGGCCATCAAGGACAAATGGATCGTCACAAGCTCACCAAAACGCGGTAAAATTTCAGATACACTGCAATCCATGTTTCAATAGTTACTCCAATGAGGCCGTCAGAACAGAACGCTTGAAGAAATTTTACCCCGAGAGCATTTGTGTCGAGCGATTTTCAATGCAGAAGATGTTGGTGTTTTGAGGCCCACCAATAAGTTCATTTATGAACTTTTTCAGGGTTATACACCACTACCTCAAGATAAAGAATCCGAAGTATGCAAGTCTAAACAGTCCGTATGTCTGTTCTTTCTCTCGATTATTGTCTGAAAATCTCAGCCAGTAAATTGACATCAGTTATAAAAAAAATGACTTAAGTATGCATTTCATAAGTTTGCATAACAGGCATTAAATTAATTCATCAATTAAGCCACGATATGATTCATTTGCATTTTACAGTATGATAATTGAATTTAAATGAATACAATTTGAGATAAGCAGACAACTCAAAAAGAGGAGAGGGATAGTTGCACAGCAATTTATTGACAAATAAATAACTGACAGTTCAAAAATACAATGAAAAACTCGCCCTTCTGGGTTTTAATTAAGAAAAACATTTACCAGCATTATTCAGGGTCAATCACTATTACATTTATTTTGATGATTAACGGTTACGCATCAAAAAAATCAAACTCAGACAAATGGGAAATGAGTTCGAAAAAGTTCAACGGCGGTTGCCTAACTTTTGAATCAGTTGGAATTTCATTTCCGCCATTAGCTTCTTTCTCATCTTGCAGCTCCGGCTTGAGAAGATGGCTGAGTGGGTACTTGAGGAGGAGCCCAACGACATATGGTAAGGATGGCCTTCTGAACTATGGTCCTGACAAAAGCAGGACAAATGGGATTAGCGATCATCTGTTCTGCGCCTATTCGCAGCTGCTGGAACACTATCCGACTATAAGGGTTGCGCTGCGAACAGTAGCGAAATGTGAGGAACCTGAAACAACGTTCAAATTTAATGCCAGGAATTTGCAGTTTTTTGAGCAATAAATGAACTATAAATAGCACATCTCATTTACGCTCTCTCGAACAATTATGGTGAAAAATTTAGGATGAATTTAGACGAATCCGTTAACTGAATATCCATTCAAAGAAGAAAACATATTTTGTCTGAATTCATTTGTTATTCGGTATGTTCGATGGTTCAAAAAAACTTCTGAAAACTAGTATTATGAAAAGAAAATAAGACATTTATGATACCTGTAGTATATGAAGGGTGTAATCATACTGCCTTTTCCGCTGAAAATCATCATGATCAAGGCGGGAAAAAGGAGCACTTCATTTAGAGCAATAAACCTCAAGATAGACTGACTATTCGATGTCACCTTCGAGACCAGTGAGTTGAGAAGAGCCACACCAATCGCATTGCCAATATTCCTCTGGATGAAAAAGGAGATGTTGAACAGAGCCAGAAGGAATAGAGGGATCACTACTAAGGTCACTGGCGATGAAGATGCGATAAAGATCAAAGAGTAGATGATGTAATGTGCGGAATCTTCTAGAAGAACACGCGAGAGAAACTCTAGGTTGAGGGCGACAACAGGCATGCGTTGATGCAACCGCAGTGCGCATGACAACGCATTGCTTAACAACGCCCGCTGGTAGAATACAGGTTGACTGTCTATTCCGTAAAAAGGGACCACAAAAAGAACACAGGAAACCATTGTGTAAAGACGTGCCAGAAATATAAAACAGTCTATTTTGTTCTGCTGTGCAAATGCTATTAATTGTTGAAAAGCCATCTCTAACTGGAAATATATACATGTAAATAATGATTCCTACATGTAAACAATGATTTTTCACTTTACGTTTGCTCGCACTTAAGCGCAAATTTGCAAAATTTGGTTCAAGCTCTGATTGTCAAAAATTTAATTCAGGCATATAATTTCTTGTTTTCACAAATGATTTATTTATTTTTGTACATTTTAAATAAATACAACAATAACTAGCAATCACCAGGAATGAACTTTATTTGATATGGTTTACACTTTAACTTATTAACACTTTAAAACTTCCACAATTTAACCTCTTTCGAGTTTCTACTGTACAAAACATTACAGGTTGGCATTTGGAGCGGAGCCCGTTTTCTAATGTACGCTCTCACATCCATCTCTTCACTTTTTAAGTCGTTTTCGCAACATGCATTTATAAATTTCAACAACTGCATCGATAACGTCAGATTTGACTGCAAAAACTTCTGCTGGTGTTCTTGTGAGAATATACCAGAATTTGTAAGTATATCACAGACGTAAGAGTTCAAAGCTTCGTCGAACAAGGGCAGCCCGTAATCGACATCAAACACGGACCACTCATAGTGTTCGTCTTTGCATTCCTCATCCTGATTCATAGCACTGATTGAAGAGCAATCCAATAGATATTGCACCTGTTTTGGAGTCAGTTCCTCGATTTCAGGTGAAGCTGAATTTTCGGGAGTTTCGTTTGGCTCAGATTGAGGAATGTTTTCTATAACTTTTGATTTAGGAGTCTTGGCAAGAGTTAAAAACCCAAACCCATTGGTAACATCCAAATGATTCTCTAACGACGCTACAAGACCTTTATGAGCTTCTAGACTATCTTGATCAAGAGGAAACGGGACGTATTTAGTACAAAGTTCGCTTTCGCTGTACCGTGAGTAACCTTGAACCAAAACTGGCATATTACAGAGAGCGTCATTCAGCATAATAAGACAACTGCATGTTGAAACTAGAATAGAATCATGGCCCCAGCAAGTCACAAGGAGTTTCTCATATTCCAGGAACATCACTGGGATTTGTCGGAGTCGGAACCCTTTGCAAAGAAGCATCGAGGGAGGTCCTCGGCCCAGCGTTCTGTATAGAAACAGTTTGAACCAGGGTGAATTCATTTCCGGTATGAATGGTCCCACATGATAAGGGTCCGAACAGCTAACTGGTGAGACTTCTTGGGAAAGAGGTGCCATTGAAATTAGAGCTTGGTAGTTCTTCTGCATTAGCCTTTGGCAAATATCAAAGTCAAGGTTAAGTAGACTTTCACACCGCAGTAAGTCAATTCCTGGAGAGTTCATCTCTTCACCGAATGCAATTTTATCGTTGTATCTCAAAAGCTTAAGAGTTCTGTGAAGTATCTGGGCATGATCGAAGTACCTTTGAGCCTCGCCTTCTTGTTCGTCTATGTCCAACTTCACTTTTTCAAGCTCACTAATGAAACTGTCCATAGACTCGTCTGATAACTTTCCTACTTCGAACATGGTCACTGCATGGGTCTTCAAACCGGGAGTCAAATTTCCCATCATCAGGAATGCTGTGAGAGTGGAATCAAATAAAAATGCAATCTTGCATCTGGAAGAGCTCTCGCCTCCTGAAAGTTCCAGTTCCTTCACAAGCGGTTGACCTTCACTTTTAGATGTCAAGGAAAATTGTGACGTCGATACGCTCTTAGCGATTATTGGCGAGTTTTCGAGTAAATCATCGGAGAGCTCGTCCATGTCTATGAAATCAATAACATTTTTAACCGGAAACGGTGCCGGCGCATTAAGCTCTTTCGTGCCATTTTCAACTGTCAACCAAGATTCATGTAGCTCTGATTGATCCATTTCGCCTTTCCTCTTGTGGCAAAAACCAAGCCTACACATCAAAGAAACTGTCATTAGAACCGTTTTAACGTCTAGATCAAGCATAGTTGCGAGCTCTTTCATAGTCATAGTTTCGTCCAGAACTTGGAACAACTTGTAGAGCAGTAATTCAATTTCATCTCCTGATGTTCGATTCATAACAAAGTTGTCTAAGGGAGGAAGAGATACAGTATCAATTTCAGTAATAGGAACATCGAAAAAGATCATTCCACGAGAATAAAGATTCCTTAGTAATCTCAAGTCTAGTTTTCCAGCCAAGTGACGTTTGTTTGCTACTAAAAAGTCAATTAACTCTTTCTCCTCTGGCGTTGAACGAAGTACGTCTGTTTCAGTTACTGTGGCTAGCCGTACTCTCCACCAGTTTTCAATCTTGACCTTAATTGGTTCTTTCGGCAACAAATCCGATATTGCTTTCTTTTTGAAAAACTTCTGCAAACTGGAATTTTTCTGGAGTCTAGACTGGTTCATCAGGTCAATGTACTGGTTTCGCCCAATGCCAAGAACTCTCAGGCAATCGACTGCGGTGAAATTTGGAAGTGAGTCATAACTTTTATCTGCTTTCATAAGTGATCTAACCATGCTGGTGTAATACACAAAGGGAGAAGTATGTAACGTGTGGAATATATCTGATAAGTGATACGGAAAAACCATCAAATTGTCGATGCAATAGTCTATCATTTGTTTATAATATTGTCTTTCGTCTTTGTACACACTGTTAATCAAGTGGTCTCGATATCTAAGCTGACATCTTGTAGAAAACTGTTTGACAAGTTTGCTGTATTCCAGTTCTGAGTTGCTGAGACTTGACTGCAAATCTTCTGGAAGTGCAACCCAGCTCACACCAGCGCGGATAAACTCTTCGATTTTAGAACCCATAACAAACTTTAAAAACAATCAATATACAATCAAAAATACAAGAACTCATAAGTGATAAAATTTATTAAAAACTCACAACTACTAGAGCTCGGCCCGCTAGGTTATACGGTTTGGCTGCACTACGCAAGAAAGAAACAATACTCCGTCCGGTTCTATCAATACCTGGCAGTAGTTATCACAAGCTGAATAAATTGTTGACTCCCATTTTCGAAAAAGTTCCTGGCGCAAACATTAAAACATCCACATTAGACGATCGAGAAAAACTAATACTTGACGAAAATGAGCGCGTTTCTTCAGTAGACTTAAGAGTTTGTACACAAACCTGCCCCTATCGGAAACAATTGAGATTGCTTAACGTAAATAAAAGAAAAAGGTAATAAAACATTCGCCCGGAAGTACATATCGACGGAAAATAAAGCTAGGTTCTAAAACGACTGGCCAGCGTCTTGTGACAAGTTTCAGAGGGTTAGCCGCTGACCCAGAGAATTGGCAGTTTTAGAGGATTAGCGACGTTATTCGAACGTTTAGACCAACTGTGAAGGTCAGGATATTCTGGTATTTTAAATTTTTAAAATTTCGAATGATGACGTCATATTTCCGAGAAACAACGAAACGGCCATTTTTGGAAAAAAACCAAAAATACAACACAACCACAACGAGAGTTGCGAGAGAAACTACGACGGAAAGTAGAAAATACAACAGAGTGTTAGCAAAGACCGCTCCGACTTGTAACGATTTTGTAGCTACAATCATTATAAGGCCATTCACGCCCACGGTGAAGGGTGGTGGAATCGTGAATTCAGCCTTCCGGAGAGGAAATAAGGGTGTTATTTCCTCGGACTCAGAAATCCGGAGGGGTCTTGAGACATGAACTTGAACCATTTTAAACGAACTTTTAGCTTCCTGGTCATGCCCTGAATTGAATTTAATTAACCTCTGGATTCATTTTCTAATAATGAGAAGCTAGGAGTTGAGGGAAAGGGTTGATCCATCTTCGATGGAGATGATTATTTTTCTCTACTGAACAAAAACAATAGTAATATAGTAAATAGTAGTAGCCCTGTTTTTAGTAGTGACCTCGTGGTCTGGGGATACTGAGACCCAGCCATGAGCTCACTAATTTTGCATGTAAGTAAGTTACTTTGAGCGTTCTGGTCCAAGCCGGAGAACAGTAACGTTTTTGTCGACCCGATGTTGAAAAGACCACCAAAAGAACTGGCTCTGGTAGAGACGGTGAAAAGCATGTAGAGCTTTGTTTAGACGCTGGCCAGTCATTTTATAGCTTAGCTTTTTTTCCGTCGATATGTACTTCCGGGAGAATGTTACATAGATGTTTTTATGGCGCTTCTGGGTGTTATTCTTTTTCAACATCATGACCGGCAGAACCGTTAACGAGCACTCCGCGCCGAGCGGATGCTCATAATAAAGCCCTTAATAGGCCCTAACCGCCGGGGTGGAGGAATAGTTCGGAACGCGGAAGCCTTCCTGATTCCCGTGAATAGGTTTTTAACCTAGTTAAGACCGAAAATTCACGTTCCAGGAAGGGTGGGGGGATCGGGCGTCCCCTCGTTACCTGAGAGGTATGTGACCAAAAACACTTAAAGATATACAGGAAACCAAACAAAAATAGTACAATACCCAAGAAAAACAAAAAACATTAAAAAATAACCGAAAAAAAACCAAAAAAAGTAAAAAAAAAAATCGGTAGAAATCATCCCCCCAGACGAGATGTGATCCGACCCTCCCGTTTGTTGTTGTTAGATATATTGTTGTTCCAGGCATTGATATCAGTCAAAATTGTTATGGTTAATTTTGTGGCCCGTTTCTGAGGCTTGTATTGTAGGGTTATTTGAGTATTTAAGCACGTTAATGCTATTTGCGCTCAATCCGGAAGGGTCTCGGGATTAGTGAAGAAGACTGATCCGGCAAGCAGTTCAACCAGCGACAAGAAGGGGCTCAAGGACAACAACACAATTGACTGTTGGGTATCCTTAACAAGTTTTGTATCCCTTTTGGTACAAAAAGGAAGATAATAATCTGTGGGGGAATGGACAGTGCTGCACTGTAGTGACCCTTCACCGAACCGCGAAATTCTTAGTTAAGCACCTTCATTCGGATATTGAACAAACCCGGAGGGATAAAGTATTACTAATATTATTATTTATACCGCCTATATTATTTCTCTTATATCGTTTTTCAGTCAAAAACACAGAGAGCAGACCGGTTTTTAGGGTCAAAATAGCGATATTTTGATCCCC